GAAGGCTTAAAACAAATGCTTCAATTTTCCATCCTCCAAATGAAAATCAATGGCAGCAGAAAGGTAAAATCGATGTTCCTCACTCTGCAGGGAGAATCCCACCCCCCATCTCCTGCCCGCCCAGAACAATAAATCAGAACTAGACACCCCGAATGGCAGTGAATCCCTGAGAGCAGCGCCCTCTGCAGGTTGGACCCCTCTGACCCCTAAAGAGGTCGTTTTCTTTACAAAGCCTCAGAGAATATTTTAAAAACCTAAGTCTGGAAGAATAACTTTGTTGTATGAAAAACTCTTCTTCCCCAAACAAACCATTTGCCAGTGGGATCTCTGGCATTGAGGACTAGAGTTTGACTTGACTGCTTCCCTAAGGACCCATTTTGCATTTTCAAGCTTTAAAGAATGTTCAGACACCCCAGACAAACAATGATCTGCTTTCCATCACCAAAGATCAGCTTACATTCTCTAGAATTTCATATGAATGGAAATCATGCAGTATATACTTTTTATGTGGTCTTTCTTCTTTTAGTCAGCATAATTATGGGATTCATCCAGTCTGTTGCATGTACCAGTAGCATATTCCTTTATGTTCCTAGTAGTATTCCACTGTATGGATGTACCACAATTTGTTTATCCATTCACCTGTTGATGGATATTTGGGTTGTTCCCAGCTTTGGGCTACTATAAATAAAGCTACTATGAACACTCATGTGTGAATCTTTGTATGGACATACGCTTTCATTACATATTGTAGACACAAATCTTTTGTCAGACGTACGTTTGTAAATATTTTCTCCCAGTGTGGCTTGTCTTTTTATTATTGTAGCAGCATCTTTTGAAGATCAAAGTTTTTAACTTTGATGACATCATTTTGTTGGTTTTCTTTATTTTCTCATTTATAGTTCATGTTTTTTGTGTCCTATTTAAGAAATCTTGGTCACTACTCTTGTGCTCTTTTAAAAGTTTTATAATCTTTTAGCTCTTGTATTTAGGTTGATGATCTGTTTCCAGCGCATTTTTTTTGGTATACAATGTCTGGTATAAAAAATTTTGTATACGAAATTTTTCTGTATACCAGTATGTTACACAATCATTAAAATTTATATCTAGAGTTGTATATCATAAAAATCCTCATTTATAAATATTACTTTAAGAAAGCAGAATATAAATTTTTATTACATGATAGGTACCACTTGCTCTGACCAAAAAAAAAAAAAAACCAATGGACAAAACATATGATTAGCAGAAAGAATGGAAGCAAATGTGCTGGAATGTTTTAATTACTGTTTTTAGACCATTGCCTATTTCCTGTTTCCTTTCACTTTTATATTTTTTCAGTATTTTCTGTAATAAGCATCAATTATTATTACATCAGAAATGTTGGAAAATTTTTAAAATTCATTTAAGAGAAGGCTTTCTGCCTGCAGGCTGCCTGCGCACTACACTTTTGTCCGTTAACGGCCACTTGGGAGAACCTCAGGGATGACCACACCACCGAGAATTCACCCTGTCTTGCCTAACAGTAGAAAGAGATGAAGCAAAGAAGAGTGAGTCTCGATGAGGCCTCGAGGTGAAACCAAATCCAACCCCAAATCCCATCCACCCAAATGAAGGAGAACTCCAGCAGAGGCAGGGCTGGGTACCCCGCTCGGCACCCCCTGGAATTGCCTGTCTGTCCACCCTGACGCTCTGCAGTCGCAGATGGGCGTGCCACACAGCTTCCCCCCTCCCTCAATCTCCATGGCAAGGAAAGCCGATGAAACCCTCTCATTGGTCTGTTCCCTGTCCTCTGCCTCCATCCACCTGCAAAGACAGCCCACGCCTGCAGCCTCTCATCAGCCTCAGGCTGGCCCGGCCGCCTCTGCGTGTGGGTGCACTGAGGCCTACCTGGCACGCGGGCTTTGCCTCCTGGGCTGCTGCAGAGGCCAGACTGGCTGATGGGACTACCTACAGATGTTTCAGGAACAGAAGGATTACGTCCTTTATTGATGAATAAATAGAGTTGTCTGCATGATTTCCCGGTCAGAGGGGACCCCTGAAGTCTAAGGTGGAAGGACAGGGGTTTCATCTGGGAAGCTGTCCAAGACCCTAAGATGAGGAAGGCTGACAGGGCGGCCGGGTGATTCGGCCCCTGAAGGGGATGGGAAGGAGGCTGGCCACACAACTGCAGAAAATGCCACTGCAGCGACCCCCAGGGTCAGGCCCACTCCAAAATCCTCCCAAATCCACCTCCCAAAGCTGCCTCTCTGGGCTAGTTTTCCAGTGAACAATGGAGCCTCTCGTCAGAAAAGCAATCACCTTCTTAGTCCTCACCTGCTGTGAGTCACAAAGTGGGTAACAGGAATGACCCTATAATCCTCACACTAAACCTCAGGCTTCCTGGGGTGGTCCTGCTGAGACTCAGACAGGGGCAGGGCACTGGGAGGGAGCTACTTTTTTTCAGGAGCATGGTGCTTTGGGGTTTGCTGGCTGACCTTCCAGAATGGCTCAGGTGGTAGTGATGACTATTATCCTAACTGTTGTGGTAATGGAAGACCAGCTGCCATATGTGACAATGGACTATGAACCTTACACATTTTTCCTTATTGAACACTCACACAAACATATGCACAAAATACTCTGTGCAGGGGTTAGTAAAATGTACTCCCCATAAACCCTCTTGGTAAGAATCTCTAGAGGATGCATCCTGGCAAATGGGAAGGAGGAATGGATAAGTGCTTTCCTTAAACCCATTTTATACATGAGGCTGCACAAATTAGAAAGGTCACATAGCTAGGAAATAGCCAGCTTGGGAACGGAGCCTAGATTGGTTTGATTCCCATATCAGTGGTCTTCATCCCTGTAATTCTGTGTCCACCAGGAGATGGGGAGATGAGGATGACACATTCACACAAGCAAACAAGTAGTCGTGCTTCCAACACAGAAACACGTCATGTCCAGACAAATGCCATGAACATGCGGATATGCCTGAATACCAATGAGGTTGCTGCCTCGGTCTCATACAGATTTGAGCTGAAAGCTTAAAATCTCTGGCACTTCCAGAAGGGCTATATCCTAGGAGGAAACAGACACCAGACTCTCCATGTTCCACCCACAACCAGACACACACACAAAACCAGACAGCTGGGCAAGTAGAGCGCTGGGCCATCCCAATGCACATCCGGGCACTGGCAGCAAAAGAGGCCACATCTGCCTTCCTTCAGGGAAGGAAGAGATCATGCCTAGCAGGAGAAACTAGGATAGTTTTCTCAGAGTATATAAGCCTTAAAAGGAATTTCTAATCACAAAAAAAGTGGTTTTGTTTTTGTTTTTTACATTCTACTCTGCAGTGAACTAGATTTTTCTTGAAGGTAGGAATAAGATCTCTTGTTTACACTCTGCAGCTTCAGTAGCTAACACACCCTGGCAATAGTAGGTACTCAATACCTTTTTGTTAAATGAAAGGAATAAATGCATAAACGAGGACAACTTGAATGCAGAGGCCAACACATGGTAGTGACGAAAAACAAAAGCTTTGGAGCTCGACAAATCTAGCTTTTGAATCTCGGCTGCCACTTGCAAGATATACAAGCAATTTTCTATTTTCTCTCTCTGCCTCAGTTCTCTCATTTTTATAGTGGAGACAAAAGTAAATACCATCTTGGCAAAAAGGCTACAAGAGTTCAAGAATGTAGGTAATCAGAGCGTGCCCAGCACAGCCTGGAGATCTATCAGTGCTTCCAGGGAGGACCTCCAGTCTGGGGAAGGAGCAAAGCACATTATAATACTTCACAACTCAGCCTTACAGAGACAGAGGTTGAGTATTTTTGGTGTGCTTAGAAGCTCGCTCTGTAGCTGCAGGAGCCAGGTGTGCGGAGGCACAGGGGCTGTGCGCTGGGCTCCATGCTGTTCGGCACCTGGGGGCGCTGATTCTCTGCTGCGCCAGGACCCAGTTCCCCAGCATTCAGACGGCGCCCATTAGAAGACTAAGGGAAATTAAAACATGTCCCAAGCAGAGCACCAAAGGCACGAGCACAGCTCAGATTTTAAGAACTGAGAGATGGAAGAGGACCCGTTCTGCAAGGTCCCAAGGTCAGCTGGAAGTAATGACCAAAAGTGGTGGGAGGCAGATTTCAGTGGGAATCAAGTTCGAGAAAGGCTGTGTGCTGCCTGAGGTCAGTGTGGCACAGGTGAATGGCGGAGCGAGGGGAGAGTGCAGATCTGGTTGTGCGTGACTCCAACACGGCATCTCTACAGCCCTCCATGGTACAGGCAGCACAGGGAGGGCGCGGAGTAGGTCCTCAACTCACCTCTGCCCCACCCCCTCCACCTAACCCCGTGGTTAAAGGAAGCATGTCGTGTGTGTGTGTGCACACGTGTGAGTCCCCTTGCTACCAGTAATTTTGCAGGACTGAAGGCAGAAGCAGCCTGAATTCAGCCTGAATTCAGATTTCTGTTTTCTGTCATTTGTAAAAACCTAAGCCCCCTGGATGGGTAATGCCAGAAGTTGTGAGGGGAGAAGCAAAACCTTTAGGTCCCTTGAAGACGAAGGGGAGCCCTTCCCCTGGGCAGGGGAAGAGGAGCTCTCGGGTGCTTCACCCCAAGAAGCAGCAGGACACATTATCAGAAGGAAGGCGGTGTGGTGGCTCCCAGACCTCCAGGGACCTCAAAGGATTACCACAGTGAGGACGTCAGCGGCAACCAAGACACTAAATATTCTCTGTTTTCTTAGCTATGAGCTTCCAGGGTCCTGAGGTCTTTCTGGGAGGAGCAAGTGCCTCTATAATGACCAAGAAGCGGGGTTTTCTGTTCACCTGCTCAGCGTCAAATAAATTCTATGCAAATCTGTGTGTGAGCGCTGAGATGCATACCCCAGCTGGAGTGCAGGCATCAAATACCATATAAAATACCATATAATAAACACGCTACCCAAACACCTGCTTGCTCTCTCTCTCCTGCCCCCCACCCAGAGACCAGGTACCCCCGATGTGCCAGCTAAGAGCACCTCCCAGCCCCTGCCTTACCTGGGGAGCAGGTGCCTGCGGCTGACACACAGGGCAGTCTGGTAGTCCTGGGTCACACATACTTTGTGCGGGCTGCATTTCACCTTCAGGCAGGGGTCTTTGGATGGGTCTAGGGCTGAGACAAAACAGAACAAGAAGAGAGGGGTTAGGACCTCCAGGGAAATTCTATTTCTATTTCTCCTCAATAAGTGAGTGGGGAATAAACAGACCATGTGTTTGCACTCGGTGCTATTTTCTTAGGCCGTGGGCCTTGGAATGAAACCAAAACCAAGGGGAATCGTGTGCCTATTGAACATATTCTTCGACTTCAGGATAGCCATTCCTTTGTGCTTTAGGGAGTTGCAGCATCTTCATTCTGAGCAGGAATTACTTTTAAAATCCTTTAGGATCTTACATACCCCAAGGACCAAGAGCTACTCTTCCCTCTTTGGTTATTTGTCTGCAATTGCTTTTTATGACTTCATTCATGCCTAATTTTACTTATTTCTTATGCTATAACAAGTCCTTGAGGATGGAGTTTTTTGGCTTCAGTTCAATCACACACACTCTGGGCATAAATAAACCCATTTTAAGTTTTGTAAAGAACTTTAGGATGTGCAACAGTTTTATGCCACACCAAGTTATAATGTAATATGGAGAGAAAAAAAAGCTTAGACACAAATATTTATTGTGTAAGGCAGAATTAGGTAAGGGCCATGACATGATGAGCATATAAAATAATGACAGAGCTCAAGAGAAGAGAGAGATTAGTTTCTGGGGCAAGGATTAATGATGCATTAATCTGTGAATTGGATCTTGAAGGATGAGTAGGACTTTGAAAAACAAAGACAGAAAAGGCCATCTAGGCAGGGGACCCCCACATGCCAGTGTGGGAAGGCATGTCTGGGCAACCATGGAGATTCAACCCAACTGTAAGTGTGGTTTGTAGGCAGGAGTAATGAGGGGTTGTAGGGAGAGCTGACTTAACTAATTTGAGAAAGGGTTTCCAAAGACCGCAGTTCAGACGCTGCAACATTTCCTGGAACAGGCTGAGCAGCGGCCCTCAGCTGATAGCACTCCTCCTGCTGAGGTGCACGTGCTCATCCTGGCAGAGAAGAGGCCTCTGGGAATTCTCTGCAAAACAAAAGCAATTGTGCCATCTCCCAGCTCCGGGGCCTAAAGCTGATTAGGCAGTAAATCTTCCATAACTGCTCTCCGCAATCACAGGACATGATGCTTTTCCAGGACCTACCCATGCAAACATTTGGTTAAACAAACCAGCACCCTGTGCAGGAATAGCGACACCCCTGTAAGAAATCCTATGTCCCTGCCGCCAGGTCCCTTGGCAACTGTGCTCTGTCTGCACTTAGAGCAAGTCATGATTCCTCTCAGCCCGCTTGGATCCAGAATCTCAACACCACTTTCTTCAGATGGCTGCTAGGAATTTCTCCAGGGATCTCAACACACGACATCCTGAGGCCTTCCTGCTGCTTGAACGGCTCGGCACCATTGCCTCCACTGCAGCAGCCTCGGCCGCTGTGAACAGAAACAGGGGGCATTCTTAGGCCAGTCAGGTGAGCGAGACCAGGTCCTGGTCCCAGGGGAGTCACCTGGCCGAGCCTCCTCCCAGAGGATGAGCATGGAGCTTAAAAGAGGAAAATGGTTGCAAGGTAAAAAGAGAGGCTGATTATAGCCCCTGGGACAGAGGGCTTGCAGGGAGCTGTTAGGCAGAGGGCCGCCTCTGGGAGGTGAGCAGCAGGGGGCTGCGTCTACCCTGGGTCCTCCTAGGCTGGGCCTGCCAGAGGCCTGCAGCAGGAACTTCCTGGTCCCAGGTGGAATTCTCTCGGCCCTGTGGACATCCACATGAGAAGCCAGGAGACGGTGGTGGCCTCAGGCCAGCAACCTTCTCCTTGCGTCTCGCCTGCTCCCCTAGCCCCAGAGCAGCAGTCCAGCCAACTCTGACTTGCTTTCCAAAGCTCCGCCAACACTGAGCCAACCTTCAGATCACCACGACTGATGGCCATGCAGGCCCTTCCCATGCTTCCAGCCACCGCAGGATGAAGGAGGACGCTGAAAGATCTCAAGAAGTTTGGGGACCAGACCACCGGCAGCCCCGGCCACAGGGACCAGCCGAGGCATGTACCTGATGGGTGCCCAGTGCCACTGAACCCTTAGGATTTTCACGGGAGCATTTCAGAGATGGAGACTAACAGGTGCCCTAGGGGGATGGGTGCCAAGATCTGCAGAACTACATGACAAGCTCGATGGCCAAATTTGAGCTTCCTCGGCTGTGCAGCCAACAACACAAACATGTGATGCCCACATCGTGACCCGATTGCCTCAGTGGGCAGTGCAAACTTAAGGCAAGTCGGTGAGCCGAGCAGACCAGGGAGGAGCACAGACTCCAGGCCCACATTTTGGAGTCTGAGGCTGGCTCCCCGGATTCCAATACCTCTTCTGGAAAATGGGGTTAATAACAGTACCTACCATTGCTTTGGTTGCCATGCGGATTAAATGAGTTAACATTTTTTAAAGTGCTTAGAACAGCCCTGGTACATGTTAAGTACCGTTTGTTAATGTTTTGTGTCTGTTCTGTGTTCCCAGGGTGAATAAAAAGCCTTCATAACAGCAAGAACAAGAGCTAACACTTACCCGGAGTTTTTGACATGCAGGCAGTGAACTAAGCCCTCTAATTGGATTATCATACTTAATTCTCAGCACCACCCAAGGAGGTGGCTGCTGTTAATATGCTCATTTCACAAATAAAGATCTGAAAGAGAAGTCGCTGGTGAGACGAGCAGAGGGTATCTGACACCTAGGTGGTTGATTCCAGACCCCAAGCCGAGCCTCTCACCCTGAATGCTGGCAGCATGAGAGCCACCTAGGAGCTCCTTTAAAAGGCTGACTGCTGGGGTCACACCGCACACCAAGTCCAGAGCCCAGGTGCACCATCTTCTTGGAAGGCCTTCAGGGCCGAAGATAACTTAAGGGGTAAAAGTAAGGGGAAGCCAGGGCGCCTGGTGCTGCCTAGGCTGGGCCACAGGGGACTGTCCCAGTGTGCCACACACACAGCCCCAGCCCCAGGGCTGCCCCAGAAGGTGAGGTGCCCGGCCCTGGGCAATCATGCCCTCTGCCTTCTCCCTCTGAATGCAGCAACCGTCCAACTAAGTCAACTGGACTGTAGTCTGCTCAGTTCTCTTTCTGTGCCCTTGCCCTGTCGCCCTACCTTTAGGCTAACTACTATAGACCACCCCTCCTCTGATTCTTGAAGCTAACATTTCTTAAAAAAAACTCACACCAAAAATACTAGTACATAAAAATGATTTAACTCCATATACAAGTCACATATAGTGATCAAGTCTGCTAAAAATTAACTGACCAGGGTTTGAATAGTTCAAACATGTATGCAAATTATTTAGAGTCAATGAACTTCACAGAACAACAAAGCGGGTAGTAAGTGAAGCTGTCAGTGTCTCTTCAGTTACCAGGGCGCCTTTGGTTTTGAAAAACAGCAACACTGGAATTGAAAGGAGAAGAGGACAGTAAAGGGAGTGTGTCATTTCCCTTTAAATGTGGCCTCCCCAAAATGCCCTCCCTAGTAGCCCCAAAGGTCACGGTGGCAGTCCTTTTGAAAAGCACCCAGCAGTCATATTGGACAGGGCTGTGTGGCTCCACTTTGTAAAGGGAATGATAAGCGATCAGAATAATAAGTGGCACTGGAGAAGCCCTTTAATATAGTGCAGGGAAATTGTGCAGGCCAGGAGCAGAATTGCTGAGTGCCAGTGATAACACCGGACAAGGCTAGAAGCTACCTTGTCAAGGTGCTAATGATTTCTGGAGGCTGTGCTCCAAGCGTCTCTCTCTCTCTCTCTCCCCCCACGTATGCCTGGTGATAGGATGCAGCGAGCCCCACATGGCAAAGCCCTGAGTCCCCTTAATCTCTTCAATCACAACGCCTGCAGGATTTTGGTGGCTTTGAGCAGGACAATGTGCCTGGCACACAGCAGTACCCACGGAAGGGTAATTTCATCTTTCCTGCCCATACACAGACACCAACCAGGTGACAACCGGTACATGACCCATGTCCAATTAATTTGTTTAATAATTCTTCCAAAACTTTTTTTCAAAGAAAAACAAGAATGAATGAAAGAGAGATTTGTTAAGCTGAGAAACAATGAATTTAAAAGCCAATTAATTACAGTCTTTTTGTAATTTTTTAAAATTAATTTTATTTTTTAAGCTCACTGCTTGGTCGCAATTAAGGCAGTGATATTTTAATTATCTTAATTGTTTCTAAACTTGTTTTTCAGCTTGAGGTACTTTTTAATTAGCCACACTGATTTTAAAATACTCAAGCCTTTTTGCCATCCTTGGGTACATCCTATAAGCTCACTGGCAAAGGGTCCCAACCCCTGTAACGGCGCGGCAGGGTACACCTCAGAGCTGCTGGTGTGACGGGACGCTCCGTTTTGTGGTTGATCAAAGTATTCCTGAGAGTCACCAGAGAGAGCGACACTCTTATGTTTATTCCGTTAACGTGTGCAGGGCGTCTGTTCTGTGCAGGCTGGAGGCTGGCACCTCTAGTGTGCACGGGACAGCTTACCTGACTTCCAGGAGCTCACAGCTCAGCAGAGGTGACAGGGACAGGGGTAAGACGAGAGAGACCAGCAGCGTCACCACGGAGGGCCTGAAGCCACAGGGAGGATGCTGGGGGACTACGGCCACCACGGACAGGGCAGGACCTGGTGGCCTTGGACTACCCTCCCCTGCTGAAGTTGGTGGAGAGGTGGTAGGAGGAGACCCCTTTATACACAACATGGAATGTGGCACTTTGATAAGAACAGGTATTCTGCACACTCTTTGCCTCCAAATGAGGGAAGTCAGAGTGGAGGTCCGGGTGGTCAGGGGGCCCTTTTCCCTCCTTGGAGGGGCCTCTGTGCCCCCTCTGGGGACACTAAGCGGTACAGGATTCTGAGAGACAAGCTTACCTGAGGAGACTGATAAACAAAGACTTCGTCAGAAACAGCCATGAGAACCTGTGGTCACCTCTGGTGACCCCTGAAACTTCCTCAGATGAAAGGCCACTTGATTTGCAAAAAGGTGACACGTTAATGGATGTTTGTTGTCCCTTGTTGC